TCTTTCTAGTTGCTGTATGTGGAACGCCGCCTCAGCATGGCTGGACAAGTGGTGCCTCAGTGCGTGCCCGGGATCCGAACCCAGGCCACCAGTAGCGGAGCACGCGCACTTAACCGCTAAGCCACGGGGCCAGCCCGAATATTTTTTCTTTGCATTGACTTTTGACATTTTTAATATTATATGCCTTGGAGAAGGTCTTTTTTTTTTTTTTTGCAGGGGAAAGTTCACTCTAAGTTAACATCTGTTACCAATATTCTTCCTTTTCTTCCTTTTCCCCCTCCAAAGCCCCAGTACATAGTTGTGTATAGTTGTAAATTCTTTTAGGAGATCTTTTTTGCATTGATGTAATTAGGAGTTCTATTGTGTTCATGTACTTGTAAGTACAGTTCCTTCTCCAGGTTTTGGAATTTCTCAGCTATTATTTCTTTGAACAAGCTCTCTGCTTCTTTCTCCCTCCCCTCTCCCTCTGGGATACCTATAATCCTTATGTTACTTTTCCTAATTGAGTCAGATATTTCTCAAAGAATTTCTTCCTTTTTTTAAATCTTAATTCTCTCTCCTCCTCCACCTGAAGCATTTCTAGATTTCTATCTTCTAAGTCCTTAATTCTGTCCTCCATAAGGTCTGCTCTATTTTTCATGGTTTCTACATTACTTTTTATCTCATTAATTGTGTTCTTCATATCCAGAATTTCTGTATAGATTTTTTAAGGGCTTCAATCACTTTGGTGAAGTATTCCTTCTCTTCATTAATTTTATTCCTGAGCTCAATGAACTATCATTCTGTGTTTTCTTGTAACTTGAGTTTCTTTATGACAACTATTTAGAATTCTCTGTCATTTAGATTGTAATCTTCTGTGACTTCAGCTTTGGTTTCTGGAGACTTGTCATTTTCCTTCTGATCTGCAGTGTTACCCTAGTTCTTCGTGGTGTTTGATGAATTGATCCTTTACCAGCGCATCTGTGGTACTATCAGGTCACAGATTCCACCTGCCACCGCTAGGGCTGGGCAGGAGCTGTATTTTTTTATCCCACCCTGTGTGGTGGTAGTTGTGCCGGTAGGGCCACTCTGTGTTTGTATGGGCCAGCCGCAGCCACTAAGCAGGTGGGGCCAACTGAGCTGCTGTGTTTAGTGGGTGGGGCACCTTCCCATGAGCTGAGTCACCAACACTCAGTGGGAAGCATTTGCATGGACACGGAGCCACCTTGGTAGGTGGGTGCTCCCACAGGCTGGGCTACAACTCTGAAAGACTTTGCCTGCAGGCTGGGCTGCCCCTGTCTCCACTCACAGTTGCACCAGCTGCTGTGTGAGGGTCCACAACCTGGATCACTCTGCCACTGGGGAGGGGAATGGCTCCATTCACCTAGTTCCGCTCCTTCTCTGGGATCTAGTCCAGCCACTTTCAGTTGTATACCTGTGTGGGTCTCTCAGATATCCTGTTGTGCTATGTACGGAATTCTCTGTTGGTTAATGAATGTCCATATAGTTGTAACATAGAGAGGAGAAACAAAAGGAACAACTCACTCTGCCATGATGCATCACTCTCCAAGGCAAGAATTGTTAACTAATTTTAAGACCAGTAGGTGAAATGCTGCTCATGAACTGTTAAAAAAAAAAAACCCACAAATATTATCTCCTATTCTCAAAACTGTTGCTATCCAAGAGAGAAACCAGGCTATCTTTTCCCTAACTTAGTTATCCATCTTAGCATCACTGATGGTACTACCGTTATATAATATGTGTTACTTATGTGATGCAATGAGGTATAAATTATCAGTTATCATGTATTCCAGGCAGATACACATGCATTTAACTTGTACCTATCAAGCTTTTAGATTTAGCTTCCAGTTTACAGGAACTATAGAGATAGAGGAACAAACTAATCTGAGTGATACCACTAGGAAACAATCAGACAAATCCAAACTGTGGAACATTCTGTAAGATAAGCAGCCCACATTCCAAAAAGTTGATGCCATGAATAGACAAACGAGATCTCACAGACATAACAATCAAATGAAGTTCACGGTCCTAGATTTGATACTAACTAGGAAAAGGCAGCTGTTTAGTACATTTGGGATGTCAGTGGTGAAATCTGAATGTAGACTGAGTATTAGATGAATTATAATTCTATTAAATGTAACAATACTATTTAGGCTATGTAGGAAAATATTCCTTTTAAAAGAGACATACCAAAGGTAAAAAGAAGCATTTCCTATAAAAGTATTAAAAAAGGGAATTCCAAAACTTTCTCCTTAGCTTTCACTGGCAGGATAGTAATACTTAAATAAGAAAAAAAAAAAGGTGAAGAGAATGCACTACAGAAACTGGATAGAGAGCAAGAAGAGAAGAGAACAAATTTTAAAGGAACAAATTCCAAAGCTGGGACGTCTGACCAATTTCATACTTTTGCAGTTTAAGGCCAAAACAATGCCTTTATTTCTGTCCTATGAAAAATATTAGATAAATTATTAGATTAAAAAAAAACTAGAGGAGCAACTCCTACACATCAGGTAAACAAGAAAACCCCACATCAAAACAGACAGGAGAGGCTGACACAAAATTTATTACAGAAATTATTAGATTTTAAAAATGAATTTATAACACAAAGTGTGAACTCTAATGTAAACTATGGGCTTTAGTTTAATAATGTATCAATATTGGTTCATCAATTTTAAAAAACGAACCACACCAATGCAAGATGTTAATAAAAGGGAAAATTGTGGTGGGGATGGTGGGGGAGAGGGAGTATATAGGAACTTTCCATACTTTCTGCTCAATTATTCAGTGAAACTAAAACTACTCTAAAAATAAAGCCTATTAATTTAAAAAAAAATTTAGAACTTACAAAAATCAATTGCATTTCTATATATCTTCAAAAACATGGTTAAAGGTTAAAAAATATATTATTTATATTAGCACAAAAAATATTAAATACCTAGAAAGAAATCTCAAAATTATCTGTAAGATCTCTATAGAAAACTATAAAGCTTTTCTGAAAGACTTAATGAAGGCCTTATAAATATGGAGGGATATACCATAATAAATTATTGCAATATTCAGTATTATAAATTTGCATAGATTGGAAGACTCAACACTGTAAACATGTCAGTCCTGCCCAAAATGATAAACAGATTACTGTAACCTCTCTAAAAATTTCAACAGGTTGTTTGTGGAACTTAACAAATGCCTGCCAAAAGTGGTAGTTAAATTCATTGCAAAACTGGCTATCTATCTGGCAGAAAATAAAATTGTACTTCTCTTTTGCACTATATTAAAATTAGCTGAAGGTGTATCAAAGACTTAATTATAAAAAGAAATAATATTAATCCCTCCAAAAATAATCTAGCAGACTAAAATTTAGGGCTGAAAGAGATCTTCACCAAACAGGAAATCCAAAATTAAAAAAGAAAAGATTAACAAATTTAACCCTATAAAACATAAAATATTTTATGAAGCAAAAAAATTTTTAATATCTATAGAAAAATTATAGATGTGGAAAAAGTATTTTTGATACAGATAAACAAAGGATTAATAACTAGACATTCAATAAGCCCTTACAAATTACAAGGAAATAGTCAAATAACATGAAAAGGTAATTACAGAAGGACAGACCCAAATGATCAACAAATATATACATGAAAAGATACTCAAATCTATTAGTCGCTGGAAAAAGCAAATTAAAAAACAGTGACATCAATTTACATCCATTAGACTGGCAAAAAATGAAAAGAGCAATAACACTTATTGTTGGCAGAGATGTGTGGAAAAGATTAATCTCACACATGCACAAGGAAATTATTGTTTTCCAACTTAAGAAATATGTACATACAGATTTATTGAAAGACAATTGCTAATAAATTTAATATGAATACAATTATGAATATATACTTATAATTGATCAATGGAAAACTAACATTTAAAAATAAGGTGGAAAATTTATTAGGATAAAATATTTTTAACCTATTTTATCAAGCCTTTGATCAAAACTCACAACAAAAACATAAACTTCGCAAGATAAAACCCATCTCTTTATGTAATGGTTAAGATTATGGGCTCTGGAGTTAACAAATTCTGAGTTGAAACCCTAGATACACCACTAGATCCGAGAGTCCTGACATGGATTAACCTTTTGAAATCTCAATCTTCTTGTTGATAAAAGGTTGATAAGCATAGAAATAAATTTTAGCAATCTTTTTGTATTGTCTGACAACTAGAAAGAGAGCACAAGGCCTGAATAAAGCACATAATGGTCAAAGTGTGATAGTCAGAAACGAATAACAATTTGCTAAATTAAGCTACATCCATTATCACAGATTTTTGTTTTCTTTCTAAGAATACTCAAATATTATTCTCACATGAATAGATATGCAATATCATGAGGCCTTAGGGTAAGATAGGACTTTTTCCATTCTAAGAATCTACTCAATAATTCATCCGCCTCACCAACTGTAGAAATCTTATTTTTATCTGACCACAACTCCAATGATGACAGCACAACAGTAACTTTAAATTGGGAAAACATCTAAAAACAGAAGAGATAAAAACATGAAAAATTAATCTTTATGTTATTTTACAACAACCAAGAAATTAATTCAATGTTTCAAGAAATCCACACTCAGTTTATATGAATGACTTAACTATAAAGAAATGCCACATCAAATTAACGCAAATTGTAATTTCAAAACTAGTATGAATTTTTCAACTAGTATGAAAAGGACAATACTTACTGAATTTACAAGGCCAATAATTTCGATGACTTTATTTGTTACTATCATGCTATCAGAGCCCAAGTAATCATACTGAAAAACAAAATTAATTTTAAATTTAAACACAATATGTTATGGAATATGTTTGAGATTTACCTTCCATCTACTTTCAGAGGTTTGAGGCTGCTTTGGGGTTAACATAGTTCAAAATAAGACAGTAACAAATTAAAAAATGAATATAAATTGGATCAATCATACATGCTGGTGGGAATGTAAAATCATACAGCCACTCTGGAAAGTAGTTTGGCAGCTTCTTTCAAAACAAATGACCTAGCAATTGCACTCCCGGGCATTTATTCCAAAAAACAAAAACTGATGCTCACAAAAAAAATCTATACATGAATGTTCACAACAGCTTTATTCATAATAGCCCAAACCTGGAAACAGTTTATATGTCCTTCAATGGTTAACTGGTTAAACGAATTGTGGTACATTCCTACCGTACCATAAAATACTACTCAGTAATAAAAAGGAACTGAACTGTCAATACATAGAACAGCTTGGATAAATCTCAAGAAAGTAATACTGAATATAAAAAACATCTCCAAAGGATACATACTGCATGATAACATTTATGCAATATTCCTGAAATCACAGAGATGGAGAACAGATTAGTGATTGCCAGAGGTAATAAACTGTAGAGAAGGGGGGAAGAGTGGGGAAGAGATGGGTATGACAATAAAGGGATAACATACGAGTCTTGTGGTGATGGTACTGTTGAGTATCTTAACTGTGGTGGTGGTTACGCAAGGCTACATATGTGATTACTATCACATAAATCTACACAAAAAACACACAAATGAGTGCTGAAATCTGAATAAGATCTGTGGAAAGTGCCAATGTCAAATTCCATACCTATAAAGCATCTCTCTAGAGTACACCATCCCTTGGATATTCCATAGGACCATCTATATCCATATCCATAACTAAACTCATCAGCCTCCCTCAAAACTCTGCTCCTACATACATTTCCACTAGTTTAGCAAATGCTATTACAACCTCCCACACTTTTTATACTACAAGTTCCATGAGAGCAGAACTGTTTCTGTTTTATTCCCTGCTGTATCCTCAATAAATAGAACAGTAACTGGCATCTAGATGATGCTCAATAAATTTATTAAGTGGATGAGTAAATCAAATCAATTTACAAGTCTTTCTAGTTCAACCTCATCAGTAACTTTTAAAATTGTCCTTTTCTTTCTATTCCTAATTCTAATAATTTATAAATTTTTACTTTGACTACTGGAATAGTCTCTTAACTTGTTCCTCCTTCTCCAATTTTCCCACCAGCAATCCAATCCCTACACTATTACACAAATGATGATTCTAAAATGAAAACATGAACATGCCACTCCCCTGTTTAAAATCTTTAATGACTCTCCATCACCTTTAGGATAAAATCCAAATATCATGTCAATTCTTCATCTCTTTCCATTTTCCTTCTGCAACCCTGTGTATTAATCATACTAAACTTCTTGCAGTTTTCTCAAAAGAACCTTCTCTCATATTTATGTGCCCTTGCAAAGAAAGGTTTTGACAAAGTCTTCCCTGGCCCCACCCTCTCCCTATGACGCAACTAATCAATCCAGAATCCAACCCCCAAGGACCTCCATTATCAGGCTCTTATACTCCAAGCCAGTTTTCCCTTACCCCAATCACCCAAGGGCCAGGTACCAGACAACTAGAGACAACCCCTACACCCCAGAACCCACTGAAACTAGCCTACCCTTCCCACAGAAACCACAATCAAGGCTCCTTGCTCATATTTTCCCCTTGCTCCCTCTGTCTCCTGACCTACCCTGTTGCTTCCCATGTGACTTCTGCATGATGTGGTGTGCCCTCTCCTCTTGGGAACTACGAAGAATAAACTATCTTTCCAGTAGCAATCATCTCCTTATCTGTTGGCCTCACCATACCTGAATAATAATAAAACCTACATTTTAAAACACCTGCTTGCATGCTCTTATAGTACCCCAAGTTGCAATTGTGTGTTTCCATGTCTTTCTACATTATTGGACTGTGTTTTTATTGTGCCATTTTCTTTCCTCCATCATGACACTGAATTCACTAGGCTACAATTGTGGATGTAAAATCTGTGGTCACTGAAGATAATATCATTCTTGTTCTTCTTTATATGCCCAACATCTAGTAACACAGATGTCACAGCTGGCTCGATGTTTGTTTTATTACAGAAAATGTAAATATGTAAAAGAATATAGAAAATGGATGTTTAATCAGTATTATATGGATGGAAAACCTGGCAGTTTGGACAAGGTCCTTTAAAACAACTCAAAATTTGTAACATAATCCTGAAACAATATGATTTTCATAATCCAAAACATTCCCTGGAAACTTAGTCATCTTTACTAGAAATATCTTAACTTGCTTTTAAATGTTCCCTTCACTCTTTCCCCTACACTCTAATAAATCAAGTATTTTCATATCCTTCTCCAAATCTCCCTTGTCTCTGACCCTCAACTCTGGCTTCCTGACAGGCTCTACATCCTAAAAAGAGAATTGATGGTGAGTATGATCCATATTCTCTGTAGTATTCCATAGATGTGACAATCAAATGCTTATCATCAGAACAAAACCTGGAGAGTATATTTTTACCCTTGTTTTCTGAGATCTTTGAAACATAGGGAAATAAAGGCACACCTGGTTGAGTAGAAACTAAGTTGTCATCCCAAGATCCTAAAGTTCAGAGGTCCTCAAATTGTCTATGAGAATCAGAGATCCAGAGTTACGTTTAGATCAGGTAAACAACAGACTGGAATAGGTGCACCATCAAAAACTACTAAAAAAACCCTGACACATTAACATAAACAGTTCTCATAAACAGTTGTACTATCATCACTTTTGTGCCAATAAATATTGTATAGGGCAAAACATTCCCTAGATTACATACTGCTCTTCAAGTGCCCTAAAACAAGAATTAAAAACTTAAAGAATTTCACTTAAAACAAATATAATCATTAAAAAATATTGTGGATTGAGAGAAGCCCTAAAGGTATAAAGTATTAGCAAAAAAGTCATTTTGTTATGCAGGACTGTTATGTAAATATTTCAAATAAAACATTTCTGAGAGAACTAGTGTAATTTTGAATATATGGTTTTTCAGTTTGCAAATATTTCCACTGTTCTCTCTATGACATGTTAGTAAGAAGACTGGAATCTTTAAGTTCCTTTCTAGACAGAGATAATCATACATTCACACCAAATATTTAAAAGCAAAGAAAAAGCAAAAGACATACCAAAACTTTGTCCACCACAATATGTACTTCTAGATAAAGAGGAATTAAATCTGGAACAGTTGATTCTGACTAGAAAAAGGAAAAACAGCATTTAATAACTTTCATAAATTGTTTATTCTGAACTTTTAAGATCGTTTTTCCACATTTATTGAGGTATAATTGACAAATAAAGTTGTATATATTTAAAGTGTAAGACTTGAAATTTTGATATACATATACACTGTGAAATAATTGCCACAACCAAGCTAAATGACATATCCACCTCACAGTTACCATTTGCTTTTTTTTGTGTGTGTGTGTGTGTGTGATGAGAACACATAACATCAACCCTCTTAGCAAATTTCAAGTTTATAGTACAGTATTGTTAACTATAGTCACATTACTGTATATTAAATCTCCAGAACTTATTCATCTTGCATAACTGAAACTGTGTACTCTTTGACCAACACTTCCCCATTTCTCCTTGTCCCCGGCTCCTGGAAAATACCATTCTACTTTCTGCATCTATCAGTTTGACTATTTTAGATTTCACATATAAGTGAGATCACACAGTATTTGTCTTTCTGTATCTGGCTTATTTTATTTAGCATAATGCCCTCCAGGTTCATCCATATTGTCACAGATGGCAGGATTTCTTTCTTTTTTAAGGCTGAATAATATTCCATTGTATAAATTTATACATATATGTCACATTTTCTTCATCCTTCATCTCTCAATGGACGTTTAGGTTGTTTCCATATCTTGGCTATTATGAATAATGCTGCAATAAACAAGTGAGTGCAGATATCTCTTTGAGATACTGATTTCATTTCCTCTGAACATACACCTAGAAGTGGCATTGCTGGATCATATGATAGTTCATTTTTAATTTTTTGAGGAACTTCTATACTATTTTCCATAGTGGCCACACCAATTTATATTCTCACCAACAGTGTACAAGTGTTCCCTTTTCTCCACATCTTCGCCAACACTTGTTATCTTTTGTCTTTTTTGGTAATAGCTATCCTAACCAGGTGTGAAGTGATGGCTCACTGTTGTTTTTCATTTGCATTTCCCTGATGATTAGTGACGTTGAGCACGTTTTCATATATCTGACGGCCATTTGTATGTCTTCTTTTAAGAAATGTCTATTCAGGTCTTTTGCCATTTTTAAATCTTGTTATTTCATTTTGCTATTCAGTCACATGAGATTCTTATACATTTTGGATATTAACGTCATATCAGATATATGGTTTGCAATATTTTCTTCCATTCCGTAGGTTGCCTTTTCATTTTGTTGACTGTTTCTTTTGCTGTGCAGAAGCTTTTTAGTTTGATATAGTCTCACTTGTTTATTTTTGCTTTCTTGCCTGTGCTTCTGTCGTCATATCCAAAAAATCATTGTCCAGACCAATGTCAAGAAGTTTTTCCCCTGTTTTCTTCTAGGAGTTTTACAGTTTCAGGTCTTACATTTTAAGTATTCAATCCATTTCACCACAGCATTTACAGGATATGCTAGGGTGTTCGCTTTTTACAATTGGTTAATATCAATATCTAGTGTTTTAAGTTTCATGGAAATGGACTTAAGTGATAAGAACATTGGTGATGAAGCTATCATAGTACTCATTAGATCCACAGCTTCCCATCTGTGACCTAAGAATAAGAGAAGCAGCATGTCTAACCATCTATTTCATCTGCATATGAGAAATAAATTAAACTTCTGCTCTACAAATTATTTAGGTGTGGAAGATTTTTTTAAGTGTTTACATTTTTTGCAGTGCCGCCGATCAAGAAATGAGTCTATTTCCTCTCACTTCACTTTAGGTTGGGCCTTGTAACTTTCATTAGATAATTAACGCAGTAAAAATGCTGGTGACCCAGTTCTGAGTCTTAGGAAGCCTTGCATGCTGCCACTCCTACTCTTAGAACCATATTTATACACCATTTGTACAAGCCTGAGCCAGCCTGATAGAAAGTAAGAAACAAGTGGCCCATTCACACCCACTGCCCCAGCCAAAAGCAGGGGAATGCTTCATGAAGAAAGAAGCTGCTGACTTCTATAAGAGAGTATTGTTGTGTTCGAACTTACCCACGCACCATCACATCCCCTACTCTCAGTGGCAGCCATGAGGATGCTGGCCCATGTTCCTGATGTGGCTCACTGGTGCCAGAGAGGGCAATACCAAATTTGTTCTCAAAGAATTACAGTCGTGTGTTGAGCTGTCCAGCAGCTCCCTGAAGGACTGACTCAAGGGTTTGCCTCTGTTTTCTCATCTTGGAACTTTCACAGGGTTAGAGTGGATACCCAGGCAGTGTTTGTCAAAAGATTTAAAGCCAAAAACACTAGCTGCAGCCACGTGGCACAAGGGATAACAGATCAGACAAACAATAGGCACTAGGAAAGAAAAACCTAGGAAAGAAGAGGCCGAGGAAGGAGATATGTGTGAGAAGAAAGGCTTTGAAAAACTCCTGCATATACCTGGAAATCTAGAAGGTCACACATGCCCAGGGCTGGACACATGCTCAGAAAAGATTTGAGAAAGCACTGAGCTTTCTCCTCTGACTGACCTTTAGGTACTGTGCAAGCAAGAGTGAAGGCTAAGGTAGAGTTGTAAATGACCAGGATAAGCATTGTAGGAATGCCCACACACAGAGGCAATATGCAAAAACCAGAAGAGTTTGTTGTTGTTGTTGTTTTTATTGTTGGTTACAGTCATTTAAGGAAATCGGTCCATTCATTAGCTGACCACTAATGGAAAACAGACTTCAAACACAAATCATAGTCTATAATAAAAACAGTTCAGAAAAATCACTAAACAAACTACAACCCACAATAAGCACCAATAACAACCCATGAAGGGGGGGGACTCTGGTTTCTAGAGTTACCACTTAATAATAGTCAAAATGTCCAGTTCTCAACAAAAAATTATGAGGCATGCAAGGAAACAAGAAAGTGCAGCCCATTCACAGGGAAAAAAGAAACAGAAACGGTCCCTAAGGAAGTCTAGACATTGGATTTACTAGACAACAATGCTCAAAGAGCTAAGAGAAACCATGGACAAAGAACCAAAGGAAACAAGAATGATGCCTCACCAAGTAACGAATAACAATAAAAATACAGAAAGTATAAAAGAGAAATTCTGAAGCTTAAAATACAATAACATAAACGAAAATTCAAAGGTCAAAACAAATCAATCGAGGTTATCCAGTATGAGGAACAGAATAAAAAAAGAATAAGAAAAATGAACAGCGTCTAAGAGACCTGTGGGACATCATCAACAGTATCAGCATAAGCATAATATGTGTCCCCAGAAGAAGACAAAGAGAAAGGAGCAGAAAGAAAATTTGAACTAATGGGTGAAAATGGTCCAAATTTGATGAAAGATATGAATCTACACATCCAAGAAACTGGAAAAACTCTAAGTAGGATAAATTCAAAAGGATCCACCAACACACATTAAAATCAGACTGTCAAAAGCATTGATAAAGACAAAATTTTGAAAGCAGCAAGACAGAAGTAACTCATCATGAACAAAGGATCCTCAAAAATATTAACATCCAATTTCTCATTAGAAACCACAGAGGCCAGAAGCAGAGGGATGACATTTAAAGTGCTGAAGAAAAAAGTGTCAACCAAGAATTCTATGTCTAATAAAACTAACCTTCAAAAATCAAGGAGAACTTAGGACATTTCTCAGATAAACAGAAACTGAGCGAGTTGGTCACTAGTAGAGCTGCCAGTTATGGACTGAAGTGTCTCCTCTCAAAATTCATATGTTGAGGTCCTAACCACCAGTGCCTCAGCATGTGACCATAATTGGAGATAGGGCCTTTAAAGAGGTAATTAGTCTAGGTCACTAAAGTGAGCCCTAATCCAATATGACTGGTAACCTTACAAGAAGAGAAAATTAGGATAAAGACACACACAGAAGGAAGACCAAGTGAAGGCACAGGGAAAAGACGGCCTAAAGCTAAAAAGAGAGGCCTTAGAAGGAACCAACCCTGCCAACACCTTGATCTCAGACTTCTACTTCCAGAACTGTGAGAAAATGAATTTGAGCTGCTTAAACCACCAGTCTGTGGTACTTTGCTATGACAACCCTAGGAAACTAATACACTACCCTACAAGAAATGCCAAAGGTAGTCTCTCAAGCCAGAATGAAAGTACATTAGACAGTAACTCAAAGCTATACAAAGAAATAAAGAACACAGTAAATGTAACTACTTGGGTAAATATAGGAGCCAGTATTATTATATTTTTGGTTTATAACTTCTCTTTCTTCCCATACCATTTAAAAGCAAATGCATAAAACAATAATTATAAATTAATGTTAATGGGAATACAATATTTAAAGATATAATTTGTGACAAGAACAACATAAAGGGAGTAGAAATATATAGAAGCAGAGCGTTCATTTTCTTTTTTATTTTTCTTTTTTTTAATTTAGGTAACATTGGTTTACAATATTATATAAATTTCAGGTGTAAGTCATTATATTTTGATTTCTGTGTAGATTACACCATGTTCACTACCCAAAGACTAATTACCATCCATCACCATACACATGTACGAATTATCCCTTTCACCCTCCTCCCTCCCCCCTTCCCCTCTGGTAACCAGCAACCCCATCTCTGTAGGAGCAGAGATTTTGTATACTATGGATGCTAAATTGATATTAATTCAAACAAGGATTATTATAAATTTAAGATGTTAATTGTAATATCTAGGGTAACACTAAGAAATTAACTAAAAATATGCAGAAAAAAATGAAAAGGGAATCAAAACAACACACAAGGAAAAACAATCAAATAAAAAAAAGAAAGTAGTAATGGCATAATTGAAGAGCAAAAACATATATAATACATATAGAAAATAAATGATAAAATGTCAAAAGTAAGTCTTTGTCAATAATTAATTGTAAATGTAACAAACTCTCCAATTAAAGGGCAGAGATTGGCAGAATGAATCAAAAAAAATACGATCCAACTATATACTGTCCAAAAGAAACTCACTTTAGATCTAAAAACAAAAAGTTGAAACTGAGAGCATGGAAAAAGATATTGCATGTAAAAGTAACCACCAGTAACTG